TCCAAATAACACTTGAATTGCCTAATTTCAAGTCTTGAATCATTGAACTCAATTAGTGCCACACTTAGACAAATTTGTGCAATTTCGGTACTAATGAACAGTACCAGGGCAGATTAAGCCTTAGTCACTAGTTCACACTTAAATAATCACATTAAGGCCTAATCACATACCCTAATCACCCAACTACCAAATACACTTACTTAAGCTTCAAATAAGCTTAATTAGCCCCTAAAATGTCCAATTCTAAGTCATTAACCATTGAACTCAATTAGTACAAAACTTAGACAAAAATACACAATTTCGGTACTCGGTGAACAAGCACTGCGAACAGGTCTTGTTTTGGGCCTTAATCCACCATTAAAACATCTCATTAGATCCTAATGACCCATACAAAACATCACACGCACAATTAAACCTAATTAACCCTCAATTAGGCCTAATTAACCCCTAAAAATGCACAATTAAACTAATTAAGGGTTTAGGGGTTTATACTCGCCTATTAACGACTCGGGACGACGGGAACGGGCGGTCGATCACCGACGCGCGGTAAGGATCGACGGCGGCGTTCCGGGTGCAAGCCGGCGGTCCGCGGCGACACCGGCGGAGGCGATTTGCTGCTGGTTTTGTTCTGTTTGGGCTGGAAATGGGACTGTGGACGGCCGAACAGTGAGAGGAAGGTCCAAGGGTCTGTGGCGTGCGGTGGTAGGTGGCCGAGCTCCGGTGAGTCTTTCCGGCGTGAACAGTACCAGAAAATGCAGAACGTGAACTGCAGAACCAGAAACGGAAGAGAAGAAGAAGATTTTCTGGGGAAATGACCGAATGAATCTCACGATAGAGAGAAATGGTCTGGTCCAAGTGAGTCAACAATGGGTGAGTGGATTCCAAGTGTCAAGATCTAGGGCTATTGGACAATTTTTCCCTTGATCCAATGGCTATAATTCCTTCTTATCCAATTATTTAGGGGTAAAATGGTCATTGATCCTTAACCCAAGCTGACCAGACCTGGTTTAGCCCCAACTCACCTTGGTTAGTCCCCTAATTAAATCCAAAATTCGGAATTACCAAAAATGGGTCCAAGGGCATTTTGGTAATTTTTCGGTCCCGGGTCAAAATTCCAATTTTCGCACATCCGCGTTCCATATGTGCGTGACCAACATAATATGGCGTCGGAATCGCGAAATTCACTTTTTAAGTCCTCGAAAACTGACTGCAAAGTTTCGGGAATAAAATAATATTATTTTTCCAATTTTTGTCGATATTCCACTTTTTGGCCAAAACCACTCTAAATGTGCATGGCCACCCCAAAATGACATTGGCCACGAAAAATAACCTCAAACGGCCTCCGAATCCGGCCTCGGTGCCCACAGGGGCAAAACCGTAATTTCTCACCCCCGGACCGAAATTCCAATTTTCACTCGTACTAACCCCAAACGTGTGTGGCCAGCGTAATATGACGTCAAATTCCCAAAAATAGTCTCTTAAGCCTTCGAAAATCGACCTCGAAATCCGGGCTCAATTCCGTGAACAAAACTCGCTAAACTTTCAATTTCAGGGTCTCTCACTAACGGGCGGCTGTTTAGGAGTTACGCGTATCGACCTAGGGCTATCCATATCGTAATGGTCTCGATCATTGAGAGAATGAGAAATTATCATTAGTTCCAGAGGTCACGATCGCTCGGTTCAAGTTCAAGACTGGTTGGCCACGTGTACTTTCGGTCTTGCAGAATCACCTGCGATCCGATGGTACATCGTTGGCCTTGGCCAAACCAGATCCGTTACCTTTTCTAAGATCGGTCCATACTGGTTCATAATATTCTCTCGTCATTTCTCGAGATCGGTGCCCAATTCACGATCGGGTCCCTGGTCCACGTACCATTTTCGTAGTTAGCCATACCCCATTGGTTAGTATCCCAAGAGTGATCAGCTCTGGGCGAGACTTACTAAAATGAAATGCGAAATATGGTCAATTTATTGATCCCGGAATTACATCGAAATTCAGGCTGTTACAATTCTTCCCCCCTTACAAAAATTTCGTCCTCGAAATTTGTAATCTACGCTTACTCCTCAAACAAGTGGGGGTGTTGACGTCTCATAGCTTCTTCGCTTTCCTAAGTGGCACCTTCTGTTCCGTGGTGTTCTCAGACAACTTTGACCACTGGGACTATCTTATTATGTGGTCCATGATCCTTTCTGTCCTTAAGCTACACTAGCCTCTCCACGTACGACGCTTCGTCGTCTACGTCTGTCTTCTCTTAAAGTGGGTCATATTTGATTCATAATTTCTCCACATCGACTTGTGGAATACGTCATATACTTAGGACAGATTAGGCGGCGAGGTAAATCGATAGGTCAGATTTCCAATCTTTTCCAGCATATCAAACAATCCGACATACCTTGGCTCAACCTTTCTTTCTTGCCATATTAGGGCAGTCTTTTCATAGGGAACACTTTGACTCACATTTGGTCCCCAATCTCAATACTCTAAAAGTCGTCGTCTCTGATCGTGTAAATTTTTCTGACGACTCTACTTATCTGTTCGACTCAAAGTCCCTTTCGCATTGCCAAAAAGTGCACAAACCTAATCGGTCTATCAATTGTCGTCTCAATGGATCATGTCCTTTCTGACTTCTCAGTAATTCCTCTACAACATCCTTTGGAACAGGTTCCTATTTTGACATTGGAAATTTTCCGACGGTCACATTAGCCTTCCCGGCTTATAGTGCTGCGCCATCTCTCATAGGCACGTCAAACACTTGATCATGAGCTTGGCCACATTTATTCTTATACTATTCCACCAGTAATGTTGCTACAAGTTTTGACACACCCTGGATACTACTTGGGTGGACACTATACTTACTGTGGAAATTTCCACTCAAGATTTCCTCCTCGAGTTTTGCCTCATCGGGTACACACACTCACCCTTAGAATCTCAAAAATTTCTATCCCCGAATACATGAAAATTCGACTTCCGCTTATCGGCATCCACCTCAATGACTCTTCGTATCTTGTGATCCACATAATGCCATTCCTTGTTCTGGGCCTAGATTTCCAAACTAATCCTCAAAGCGGACAACAGATTCAACATTTGGCTTACCTCAAATTTAACTTCCGAGTCCCTGAGCCTTCCTAACAAGGTTCATTCCTTGATCACCTCATACGCCTCAATCAACTCACGACTTAACGCATCTATTACTCGTTTAGCCCGTCCATGGCGACACCGGTCATTGCAATCAATTCTCCATCGTGCATCATCTCGTACGGCCTTAACTGGCACGACGAATAATTTGCTACTCTATCGTGTTGCCTCAACACACATCTAAATCTTCTTAGTGAAGTGTCACTATAGACCTCGAATCCTCCCGGTCCGGGTTGAATATTCAATACCGGGGCAATCATCAGCCTACACTTCAGCTCTTGGGAACTCCGTTCACAGTGATCATTCCATTCAAACAAATTTCCTTCTCAATCAGTCGTGCCCTTAGCACGGCTATCGACGAGAATCTTCCACAAAACGTCGATAATCGTCAGCCAAATCTATAACACTGTCAACCTCTATTATTGGCATCAATCTTGGCCACTTAGTCCTCTCCTCAACCTTAGTCGGGTTCACTGTAATTCCATTTCCCCTAGATTACATGTCCAGGGAACGTTATTCTATTGAGCCAAAATTCGCACTTGCCATACTTGGCATGGAGTGTATGTTCTCTCAAGATTCGCAACACCTCAGTCAGACTTGCTTCTTGTTCCTAGGCTCCTCGAGTCTCCCAATACATTGTCAACGAAAATCGTTACGAACTAATCCCATAATTCTTGGAACATTCGGTTCATTAGGCCCACAGAAACAGCAAGGCATCTCTTAAACCCATGGGCATTACTATGAATACGTAGTGTCCATACCTCGTCTATTAAGCAGTCGCAATTATATCCCCGTGTCATATCCTTAACTGAAAATTTCCAGTCCGTAACACGATGTTAGGAACATTCTCGTTCTGAATTCTTTGCCGGTGACATCCATCCATAATTCAACCTCAGAGGACACTAAAGTTTCTTACAATTGATCGAACAAGCTATTGATCCTCGATAATGGTTACTAATTCCTTTTTGTTACCTGGTTCTGTTGCCAGTAATTTACGTACCATCTCAAAGTCCTGTCCTTTTTCCTCATACCAAATACAGGAACTCCCCATAGAGATACACTAGGGCGAATAAAATTTTTGTCCCCGAGTTCTTACATCTGAACTTTCAATTCCTTTGATTTCCGGCAAGGACACTCAATACAATGCTCTCGAAATCAGTTCACTCCCGGCCAAATCTGTCACGATTCCACTTCTCGTTCTAGTGGCAACACTAAAATTTCTACGGAAAGACCTCGGAAGGTTACACACCTCGTTAATTTTTTTCCGACTTTAGTTCCGTCACGATCGGGTCAACCACGCCCACTAACGTCCTTCACAACCTTCATCTGACATTTAATCACCTCAAGTAAAGGCATCCAAGGAATCGAGATTCCTCCTCGACTTTCCTGAAATCCAAACCTAGGACATCCATTCGGACTAAACTGGATTACCCTATTGTCATAATTCATTATGGCTTTCTGCCTTATGAATCACTCCATATCAATTTCCACGACAAATTCGTACATGGCCAATACTGCCAAGTCAACACTCCTTTCTCTACTATCAATTTCTGTCTCATAGTTAGGACACCTCAACGACACCATCACCTTATCATTCGAGGAATCGTCACACCAAACGTGACTCAAGTACAACAGACTCAATCCCGTCCAGTTTAACTAGTTGTTCCGACTCCCACTTTCAATGCAAGCCTCAGGACGGCTCATTCAATGGTTCGGCTTTCTGATATCCTCCCCAACCGATGGGATGAACAATCTGTTTCCATGCCATTTACTTCTTCCTGAAGCGACGATTATCCTTATTCTGAGCATACCATGATCCAGAAGTGGTTGCCCCTTCTCACTAATCTCGCTCTATCACGTGAACTCATTCAAGCATTTTCACATCATTCCCGATGTTCAATGAAAGCATTAGGTTTCGGAGATCCGACTTCAGTCCGTCTTGGAATTTCCGAACCTTGTCCTGTGGATTCTCAACCAACCAAGCGGACTCCTTTCCATATCGTTCCACAGTCATCTGCCCTCAGTGAAGTCATATAAACTCCGTCAGTTTCCTTTTTGGGCAGTCTCCGGGAAATATTCTCCCATAGGAACTCTTAACAATCATGGCCCAAATCTAAGTTGTACTCATTGGGGATGTCTTATCCCTGGTGGAAGGCCATCTACAGCTGGCATGATTCTGAAACGGATACACCGCCAACTTTACTTTCTTCATCTCGGTGCACCCTAATGTTTCAAAGGCTTTCTCAACTTTCGCTATCAATCCCGGTGCAACCTTGGGGTCACCCTTACTATTGAACTTAAGAAAGTTTCACTCGAAAGATTATTCCACCAGTTGATGCACTCGCCTATTAGCCACTATGTGAACTCAACCCTACTGGCATTATTTTCGATCACAGCAGTAATCGCTGCAGCCTCAACAGCCTAGGCAATAATGGCACTCCCTTCCTGAGCTTGCCTGCCCACACATTCCCCCTTTCGAATAGGATCTGAGTCACAACCTCGAATCTTAGGTCTCAGGCTCATGGTCTACAGCACTCGAATGCTACCGAGTTTCCTTACTCATCACACTGCCATTCTTGACGCCTCACTATACAGCTACCTGCTATAACCCCCCCTAAGGGATTAGAGACTTAAACCAATCTATCCCAGTCTAAGTCCTAAGCAGGTATCAAACAACAATCAACACTCAGCATACGGCCTAACATTTATCCAACACATCACCCTAGGGGTTTGCATACTCACCTCAGGTCCTGCCGCAACTGCACTGCAAGGGTCACACCGAACAATCCAAACACAATCAATGCACAATGGTCAAGAGATGCATGTAGCACACGAGGTCACCCTATTGGCTACCCATGGTCTCATCGCTCTTTATTGCAAATTGTAGGTTTTCAAAATTCATGATGCAAACTAATAGTAAAATTAAAAGTGGAGGTGATTTGAAATAAACCCTATTTTACATTTGAAATCTTTAATTAACACATAAGGTCACATCATTTTTTTCATAATTTTTCAAAAAAAGGCAATAATATTATTCAGGAAAGTCGAGAGAGACTTCTAATTGTTCCAGTCCCTAAAGAAAACCAATTCTGTCGATTATACAGAAATTCCATCCACAAAGCAAACAAAAAAGAGAAATAACATAAAAAAAAAAAATCACAGATCAAGATACTAAAGCTTCGACATGAAGTAAGAATCACAGGTACGTACCCATTGACGTGGTTCTTCAAATCAAAACCTGAAAAATGCTTAGCCTCTGCTAGGGCATCCCTCCATATTTGTATCTGCACATCGTCTCTCTTGTACCTACACAACCTCTCAAAACCTCGTGCGAATCCGCTTCCGCCCGTCAAGTTCGAAATGTCAGCAGTGTCCACGCCATGAAAGATGGGAACAATCACATGGCCGTGGTACTGGAGCTGCCTTCTGCACTCAAGGTTCTCAACCAGCTCGTTCAGGCACCACTTGGAGTCAGCATAGTTCGTGGAGAACACGATGAGGGCGAACCTTGAGTGGCGGATAGCTCTCGAGAGCTTGCACGGGATCTCCTGTCCAGTGTCTTCTCTATTGTCGTCGTAGAAGTAGTCAATCCCCGCCTGGTCCAGCCCGTGGAAGAGGTGAGATATGAAGTTGTTCCGCAGGTCGTTGCCTCTAAAACTCACGAACACGTCGTGCTTCCGTTGATGAGAAGACGATGAAGAAGAAGACATGGTTTTTGTCTAGTTGATAAGTGGTGTAGAAACTGATCGAGAGGCTATATGTGTATTTGGTTAGAAAAACTTTAAGAGGAGACTTCTTCACGATGACTTCGAGGAAACAATGCACAATTTGACACTGAGATAAATTTGAACATGGGTGTTTTGTTTTTTTTTTCTTCTTTTCGCCAGATTATCTCCAACTAGCTTGCTTAACTTTTGTTTTAGAAGTCGTAGATTCTCTAAGTCCCATGGTTCGTAATAGTTCACAAAAATAGTAATCAATCTCCGTTATTCTTTTGTATTATCGTTAGTACAATATCTAATTGATTTTGTAACAGTAATTTCTTCACGCATCGCAACTTGTCTTAATCAAATATAAGTGTGATTATTTTTGCATCCGTAACTTTCATTTAACGTCGATAAGTTACGACAGCAAACCGGTTTTGGAAGGCAAAATTGACTAATCACAATGTTTTCGCTTTTAATCCAGCTGTCCACATCGAACGAGGGACCCTTCTCATAACATCACTTACGGGGCCCGTTATTTTTGTTCCCTTAAGAAGTCCAACTGTCCAATCAGTCAAAACAGTGGGGCGTCTCTATTGTTGATCAATCATTTATCATCTTTAATCCAAGCAGCCATGTAGAATGATTCCATTTACGTCTTCACATATTAACTGATTTGAAGCATCTTCTTGTATGACGCATGCGCTGAAGCTTCAAACCCATGTTTGCGTTTTCAGACAAGTCGCTCTCACGCGAAACAAATATCTTTTAGCTTTGATTTGACGAATCCAAACCCATCCTTACTCGAGCGAGCAAGTTGCTTCGTCAGTTCTTTGGTCCAATTCCATGTCCACCCCAAGTCCACCCCGCAGTTAGTCTGAACATTCAATTGAAGAAGCAAAGTCCAACGTGATGGCGGGACTTTCGTTCGTTGTCCCTTCTCATTTACAACTTGCGTGTCCTCTCTGTTACATGAACATTTCATCTGCAAGGAAAAATTTTGGCCTAGTACCTTAAAAAACCTCAAATTTTAGTTTTTATCCCAAATTTACTTTTTATTTCATAAAAAACCCTCCACTTTTAGGTTATTTCCCAATTCTACCATCAACTTTTTTTTATCCCATAAAAAACCCTCAACTTTAGGTGTTATCCTAATTTTACCCTAAGCCTTTTTTGTCCTATAAAAAATCCCCAACTTTTTGTCTTGTCCCAATTTTACCGTTCAATCCCAATTTTACCCTAAAATTTTTGTAGATTCACAAAAAATCACAAAATTTTACTTGAGTCACGAATTTGCTCCCATTAACCCTCTGTTCAAAATTTTTTGTTGATAATCGAGAGATGGAAAACTCCAAAGCATGAGATGTTCGAGCGTCCCGAGCACATGCTCTCCGACCGCAAGAGAAAGCACAAGAGATCAAAGACTGAGTGCAAAATTAGTCTTTTATGAGACAAAAAAAAAAGAGTTAAATTGAAATTGGACCTAAAGCTGGAATTTTTTACGAGACAAAAAAGTTTCGGGTAGAATAAGTACTGAAACTAAAGTTGAGGGTTTTCATTAGAAAAAAAAATTTAGGGTAAAATTGGGACTAGACCTAAAGTTTGGGATTTTTATGGTATAAAAAATAGTTTAGGGTAGAATTTGGACATAACCTAAAGTTTGAGGGTTTTTATGAGATAAAAGGTAAAATTGGAACAAAAGCTAAAGTTCGAGGTTTTTTAGGGTATTAGGCCAAAAAATTTCTAACCTTTTTTGCAGTCTCACACAATCACGCGGTGTTCTCGTGAGAATCGAAGAAATCGAGCGATGCCTTCGGTGTTCTTCATGCTAATGGCCCACCTCGTATGCTGCATATTGATCAAAAGCATAGTGTTGTGCAAAGCCTACCTAAAACCTATTAAATATTCCCTAAACCCCCCATGACCCTAAATCTTATATAAACTCTAAATCCTAAATCCTAAACTCTTAATAATTTTAAAACCATAATCATATTTGACCCAGAAACCGCAAATAGACCCATAGTAACCCTCAAACCCTAACCCCTAGATAAGCAATTTCCAGAGCAAAATTGATAAACATAGTAAAAGTCCATCAAAGACAATGGCAGAAAGGAGGAAAGTGGAAATTGTCATTTCTATAAATTTTCAACATTACTCGGTTACGTGTTTTGATTTGACAGACTTTAGATATGGCAAGCACGGTACAAAACCTTAACTTCCATCAATATACACTTGAACCAAAAGATGCTCTATAAACATACCAGTACGAGCCTATCTATGTCGACTAATAGTCTAAAAAAAATTAGTCTTATTAGTCTTGTTGGTCTTACATATCTCCACAAGATACAAGCCTTCCACCACTTTCAACCATCATCTTGAGGTTCTTATTTCACTTATCTCAATCTTTCATGCAATTTGTACCTCGAAAGAATAAATTATTATAGCCTCAAATGATGTGGACAAATTTTTTTTTATTACTATAAATAATCAAAACTCCTAGTACATAAGACAGGCTCCTATTTTCCTACGCACGCTTATTCAATCCTTAGTGAAATCTTTGGGAGCACTAGTCTAAATGCCCCTGAACTACGAACTCGACCAATTTATGAAGTATTTCGGGGTGTGTCTAAGCTCAGTACAAAAAAATATGTTTAAATTAGGAATTCTACTCACAACTTGACCAGAGATCATGGCAGCATAGTAACAATTAGCAAGTAATATCACATATCATTGTTAATATAGAAATAAACAAATTATGTAAGCTCATTTAAGATAATGCAAATCGTATGATATATATGAACGAGTATAATCATGAGTTCAATAAGTAAAAATATGCTATGAGCCGATATTCATTTTAACACTCAAATGCACACGGATGGATGAACGTACAAATCTCATTATGTGCAAATGCCATGTAGTAGCTTAGTGATATGCGTTGGTGAGCATCTATTTCTACTCATCACTGGCCAAGACTCGTCTCGACTAACGAGACATTGCCACCACCAACTCATGGAGAAAGAATCATATGCACAACTTTGGGGAAAAGTACCAAAAAAGTCGTAAATATATTGCATTTATACCAATTCAGTCCTAAACTTTTCAATTGGACCAATTTAGTCCTAAATATTTTCGCACTAGTACCAATTCAGTCCATCCGACCAATTTAGACCAAAAATTACTGACGTGGATGCCGGCGGTCCTATGTGGCACGTTAAAGTTGACGTGGACAAAATTTATAATTTTTTAATATTTTTTCAGATTCTTTTAATGTTTTTTTTTCTTTTTTTCTCTTTTTTTTATTTATTTTTTATTTTTCTATACACAGTTGGCCGGCGACCCTCGCCCAGGCACAGTGAGGGTCACGATGCCCTCACCGGCCAACAAGCGAGGGTTTCGGCCTCGCCTGGTTCTGGACAAGGGCCCGACGCCCTTGCCTATGGCCGGCGATGGTCGGCAGGCGACCTCGTCAGCCAACTATGAACAAGAAAAAGGAAAAAGAAAGAAAAGAAAAGAGAAAAAAATTAAAAAAAACATTAAAAAAATCTGAAAAAATTATTAAAAAATTATAAAATTTGTCAACGTCGGCGTCGGCGTGCCACGTAAGACCGCCGGTGTTCATGTTAGCGATTTTCATCCTAAATTAGCCAGATGGACTGAATTGATATCAATACGAAAAGATTTAGGATTAAATTTGTTCAATTGAAAGGTTTAGGACTGAATTGGTACTAATGCAATAGGTTTAGGATTTTTTTGGTACTTTTCCCAACATCTTTGCCACCCCTCAACCCATCCATCACGGGTGTCCTCTACATCAGTTAGGATAAATATAACTCGGCACAACCGCATGATGATGTTTATTCCATATTCATTCTCATCAAAATTCATACTCATTTTTTTTCCTTTTCTTTCTATTCCCAATCTTGGACCTCAAGTCCATAATATCAACAAAAAAGGGGGGAAGAACAGCATTGGTGCCAAAACTTGTGTACGGAGGCCACTTTGGTGCCAAAAGTCTCAATCGGATCACTTAAGTGCCAAAAGTTGTGAAAAACGATCACTTAAGTGCCACTTCGCCGGAAATCCGATTTGGCATTTTTTTATTAATTTCTCAAGCTGATGTGGCTCGCCGGAGGCTGACGTGGCTCGCCGGAGGCTGACGTGGCATTTCTTTTCTTTTCTTTTTTCCTTTTCTTTCTTTTTTCCTTTTCTTTCTTTTTTCCTTTCTTTTCGTTTTTTTCGAATTTTTTTTTCCTTTCTCTTTTTTTTTTTCTTCTCCTTCTTCGCCCTAACCAGTCCGGCCAGGGGAAGCTCGCCGGCGAGGTCCACTGGGGAGGCTCGCCGTCGCCGGGCAAGGCGAGGCGACCTCGCCCAGCCTCGCCACGGCTGTGCGTGCGAGGGCCGGCGAGGGCGGAGCTCGCCATGGCTGGGCGAGCTCTGCCCTCGCCGCCGCTGGGCGAGCTCGGCGTCGCCCAGCAGCGGCGAGGGCAAAGCTCGCCCAGCCATGGCGAGCTCCGCCCTCGCTGGTCCTCGCCAGATCTGGGGGAGGTCGCCTTCGCCGTGGCTGTGCGACGGCGAGGCTCGCCCTCGTCGGCACTGGCGAGGACCGGCGAAGGCAGAACTCGCCCAGCCATGGCGAGCTCCGCCCTCGCCGTCGTACAGCCCTCGCCTGGGCAGGGCGAGCCCCGGCGAGGGCTCGCCTCACCAGATCCGGCGAGGTCGACCCTCGCCGAGGCCACGGCTGCCTCGCCGGGCCTCGCCCAGAGGAAGGCGACGCCTGGCGAGGCCGGCCATAGCCGGTGGCTGGCCTTCGGCCACCGGCCATGGTAGAAGAAGAAGAAGACAGAAATGAAAAAAGAAAAGAAAAAAGAAAAGAAAGAAAAAAGTCAGAAAAAATATTTAAAAAATTAAATTATACACATGGAAATGCCATGTGTCATTAAAATTTAAATATAAAAGCCACGTATTAAATTTGATCGGAATTTCTCACCGTTAGCACTTAAGTGATC